TAATTTATACAAGAAGGTTTGATGTTTATTTACAGGAGGAGTATGGGTGATGGTTTATCCTGGAGATGTGGTGGTGAGAAAGAAGGGGGGGATTTTAAAAAGTTTTTCTATCAAACTGTGATGGATTCCTGTTTTTCGGGAGTCTGGTTTGATTGTCAGCTGGGCTGGGGTGACATTGGCCAGGGGGGATCCTCATCGGGGGAATTCCTGCAGGAAAAATCCCTGGAGTCCTGGAGGTCCTGGGAGAAGTGCTGGAATGTGGGATGTGAAAAAATCGGGGGGTTTTTACACAAAAAATCAAAATAATGGGAAAAATAAACATAGAAATAAAAGGTTGGGATCTGCAGACCGAGGCTCCTCTAAGAGAAGGGGGAGCTGCTGGCACAGGACTGGGGAGGCTCCGGAGCTCGCGGGGCTTTGGATCCACCCCGGGATCCCAGCCCGGATCTGCTCTGGCCATACAGCGGCAAAAGGCTCCGGATCCCAACCCACCCAGACCGGGACTGGGATCGGGACTGGGACTGGGATCAGGACTGGGACTAGGATCGTGATCAGGACTGGGACTAGGATTGGGATTGGGATCGCGATCGGGACTGGGATTGGACTGGGATTGGGATCAGGATCGGGACTGGGACTGGTATCAGGACTGCGATTGGCACTAGGATCGGGACCAGGACTGGGATTGGGACTGGGATCAGGAGGATGTGAAGGGCAGAGAGGGGAAGGAGGAGCAGCAGGAACTGGAGAGGTGGAATCCTGCATCCCTTGGGACAGGGAATGAGGGGGAGCCCCATATCCTTTAGGACAGGGAATGAGGCTGAATCCCACATCCTTTGGGACAGGGAAACCCACATCCCTTGGGAGCAGGGCCAAGGCTGAGTCCTGAATTTGTTGGGACATGAAATCCCACATCCCTTGGGCAGGGAATCCTGCATCCCTTGGGACAGGGAATGAGGCTGAATCCCACATTCCTTGGGACAGGGGCCAAGGGCTGCAGAGCCCAGCACGTGGTGCTGGAGGACAAATCCTCCTCCTTTTCCTCTTTTTCCTCCTCCATTTCCTCTTTTTCCTCCTCCTTTTCTCCCTCAGGAGCAGAGCCCACCACACTAGGATCGGGATCAGGACTGGGACCAGGACTGGGATTAGGAGGATGTGAAGGGCAGAGAGGGGAGGGAGAAGTAGCAGGAACTGGAGAGGTGAAATCCTGCATCCCTTGGGACAGGGAATGAGGGGGAGCCCCACATCCTTTAGGACAGGGAATGAGGCTGAATCCCACATCCTTTGGGACAGGGAAATCTGCATCCCTTGGAAATGGGGCCAAGGCTGAATCCTCAGTCCCTTGGGACAGGGAATGAGGGGAATCCCAAATCCTTTAGGACAGGGAATGAGGCTGAATCCCACATCCTTTGGGACAGGGAAACCCACATCCCTTGGGAGCAGGGCCAAGGCTGAGTCCTGAATTTGTTGGGACATGAAATCCCACATCCCTTGGGCAGGGAATCCTGCATCCCTTGGGACAGGGAATGAGGCTGAATCCCACATTCCTTGGGACAGGGGCCAAGGGCTGCAGAGCCCAGCACGTGGTGCTGGAGGACAAATCCTCCTCCTTTTCCTCTTTTTCCTCCTCCATTTCCTCTTTTTCCTCCTCCTTTTCTCCCTCAGGAGCAGAGCCCACCAATCCCGTGCCCATCTATACATCTCTACATATACATTAATTACATACACACACTATATACACACACAGACACCCCCAGCCCCGCTCCCGGGGATCCCAGGGAGCTCATTCCCACCAAACCTTTCTGGATTGAAAGCTCAGAGTTACTTCAGAGCCTGGCAGAAAACCTTGGAGCACGGAAAAGATCATGACAAGGGTGGTTAAGGGAGAAAAAAGGAATTAAAAATCCATTCCAGTTCTCAGCTGGTGGGTTTGTTCCTGTGGAAGGAACTGAGCTGGGAATTCACAGCAGGGAGAGCTCGGAATGCTGGAGCTGGACCTGAGATGAGGCAAAGGAACTCCCAGACAGGGATAGTCAGGGAAATGGGGGAGGGAGAGGGGAAATTTGAGGCAACCAGCCCATGCTGGCAGTCACCCAGCCCAAGCCATCCCCGTCCCTGCAGCTGGATTCCCCCAGCACAGCTCATTCTGGAAAGGTCCAAAATCAGAGAGACTTTTGGAGCTAAGGGACAATTCCATCCCAACACAGGCACCTGGTGCCTTTTATGGAAAGATCCAAGATCAGAGAGATTTTTGGAGCTTAGGAACAACTCCCATCCCTGCAAAACCCACCCAGAGCCAGGTCCTGCTGCTGTTGGGCCCCTTCCGTGTCCTGCCCTTCCCAAACTCCCCATTCGGCCCTGGTTTGGGCTCTCTGCTCTTCCCTTCCCTTTGGATGTGGCCTAGGAGTTCTGGCTGTTCTCCTGCTGGATATTCTCCATCATTCTCCTGCTGCAATTCCAGCAGGGAGAGCCCAAGGCTGGCACAGCTGGCAGAGCAGCCCACACCACCCTGCAATTCCAGAAACTCCTAAAATTATCCAGATGGAAGAGCCAAGGCTCTCCCTGCGGTTCCAGCACATCACACACACACGCAGGAATAGGCAGGAAAGAAATGGAAAAGCCATGGAAAAATCCCTCAGGGAGCACAGCTGGAATTACCAGCACATCTGGGCACTGCTCCAGCTGCTCCTGGCTGGGATCACCATGAGGGATGGGAATTTGGGCGGAGGGGACAATGCCAGACTTGGCTTTAGGAAAGGAAGATGCTGGAGACACTTCCACTCGAGTTCATCTTCCCAAAAATCTGCTCTGGGAGAAGCTGGAAGCTCCTGTGTGGAGCCTCCTCGCCTCTCCCCCATCTGTGTTCCCACCAGGAATCCCTGGAAAACCCTGGAGCAGGCACCTGCACCAGGCACCACCCCTCAGGTGTTACCCATCCCTGTGGCTCTGCTCATGGAGAAATGGCTTTACCCAGGAGTTTTTGGGGAGATGGACTTCCCCAGGAAATCCTGCCCTAGTCAGCTCCATCCCAACTCCTTGGAGGGAGGCACAGGGTCACATCCTCCAGCACGAGAGTTTTTTTCCCTTCAGACATCAACTCCAACAGCCCCTGCGGAGCTGAGGTGACACAAGAGGCTGTGGCATCATTGCACAAGCACAAAAAGTTGGTTCCAAACCCAAAAAGTTCTCCTGGAGCTCACATCCCTCTTCAGGTGGAGAGTAAAAGTGTGGAAGCAAGAGTTAAACAGTGAATTATTTGATCACTTCTGATTAGCAGTTTAGTTGCCTTCACCTTTTTTAATTGTGTTTATCTCATATTTTAATTACTGCAGAAGCCCTGCCCAGACTTCTCTCACCCTCCCACCTCCAGCTTCCCTCGCTCCTGAAGCTGTGATGGATTTAAGTGCCGGGATTACAACCTAACACCAGCTGAGAGGGACAAGGTTAAGCTTGAGTGAGTAAAAAAATTGTATTATGGAACTTCAGACTATTAAATAGGAGGGAAAAATGGAATGAAGAAGATTAAGAAGGCAGCTCTGAAAAGCAGCATTAAAAAGATTAAGCTGGCAGGGATTTTTTTTTTTTTTTAAGCAAGCTCCAAAGATTAAATCCAGGTTTTCCCAAAAGATGAGGATTTTGGGTGACCTTGGTGACCTTGACTTGTGCCACTCCCCTTTGTGTGATCACAACAGGGCCAAAATCCTCCAAATCATCAGATCAGGAGTTTGAACTCTCTCCGGAGCAGCACAAGGTGGCTCTGGGTTGGCACCAGGCTCCTTCTGAGTGTGTTCCCTCCTTTGGAGCATCCTCATCCTTCATCCTTATCCTCATCCTCATCCTCCCTCCAGGATGGACACAGAAATGGTCACTCCCAGAATCACCACCCCAAACATCCAGCAGGGCCTTCTTCAAGCTCCAAGCTCCAAGAACCTAAACCACGAGGATTTTGAGGCTGACAGCTCAAGAATGAGGATTTAGAGCTGATCCATGGTGGAGCCCTGTTCCCTATCCGGAAGTAAAGCCAGGTCATCATTTTGGGTTGTATCCCAGGAAAAAGCAGCCCAAAGCTCCCAACTTCCCGACTTGAAATCCCACATGAGCATCCCAGAGCAATGAGAAATCCCAGGGATTTCATTTCCTTCCACACCTGTGTTACTGTGGTGTACAGCAGTGGAGATATGTATTTATATATATTTATATATTCAAAATATTCTTCTGGCCTCAAATCCCTTCCACAGTGAAGCTCTTCTGTCTTGTAACCCCCACCAGGGCCATGAAACCCTAAATCCCCCAACCTCCTCAGGGGCCAAAGTGTCCCTGGCTCTGTTAATTCGCAAAGTAACAATTTTTCCCCAAAGATTTTCCCATTTGAATTGTTCCAAGAGCAAATCAAAAGTCTCCAGGAGAACCCTTCGAGATCACGACCATTGTGACAACAAAACCCACAAGCAGGGCTCCAGCTAATTAAGAGCCACCTCATTGAAACACCTTAATTGAAATATCTGAAGTAATTAATCTGCACCCTGGGCAGCCTCAGATGGGACACCTGGGGTGTCAGGATCCGGTTCTCTCTGGCCCCATGGGTTGTGCTGGGATTTAAACACCAGTGAAGGAAAACCATCAATCCTGGGGATTCAAAACACAAAGGAAAACCATCAATCCTGGGCGTTTCCATTGATTTTGGGATCTTTCCAATGGTCCAACCAGCCCTGGGCTGAGCCATGGTTCTGCTTCCCCTTCCTCACCTCTGGAGCCAGTGGGATCCCTGTCGGACCCTGATGGGACAGGGATGGTCCCTGCTTGGATTTCCTCCCTTAGGCTGCATCCCACGCTTGCAGAGCTCTGTTATCCCCTCTGAAAGAGCCAGGGACAGGATTCAGCTCCTGCAGTCCCAGCTCCTCCCAAAGGAATGTCCCGCAAAGCCGAGCTTTAGTGGTCACAGTGAAAACCCAGCCCAAGCCAAGTCCCTTCCTGGCCAACCCCTCAGCCAGGTGTGGATCCAAGAGATTCCAGGGGGTGGCCAGATGGCAGCAGCCTGGGATGCCCCAGTGCAGCTCCACAAGCTCTCCGGAATGTTGATCCAAAGGGATCATTCCCAGCATTTGTATTTATTTCCTTTTTTCCCCTCTTCAGGAGCGAACCCCAGGTATTCCAGCCCCTTGTGCTTTTCCCAAGGTTCCAGGAGTGTTGGAGAGTCAGGTTCTCTCTTCCAGCAGAAGGGCATTCCTGCAGGGCGACCAACCCCATTCCAAAGGAAAACCAAAAAATAAAGATGAGACAAAGGGAAGGAAAATCTCCCTCCTTTATGGACGGGGGAAAAAAGGGCAATAAATCCAAAGCAAACCCCCTGTGCCCCAGGGCTGGCAGGAGGTGTCTGAATCCCAGAGTTCGTGGTGGTGGCGGTGGGAAAAGTCCAGTTGAGCTCCAGGCACCGTGGGCAGCCCATCCCATGCTCTCCAGGGCATTCCCAGGCACGGCTGCCCTGGCATCAGCTCCTTGGCATCGGCTCTGTGTCCCGTCCCTCCCGCCAGCAGAAAGGCCAGCGGTGCTCGGTGTCACCTCGGTGCTGCTCGGTGTCACCTTGGCAGTGCTCAGTGTGACCTCAGTGCTGCTCAGTGTCACCTCGGGGTGCTCGGTGTGACCTTGGCGGAGCTCGGTGTCACCTCGGTGCTGCTCGGTGTCACCTTGGCAGTGCTCAGTGTGACCTCAGTGCTGCTCAGTGTCACCTCGGGGTGCTCGGTGTGACCTTGGCGGAGCTCGGTGTCACCTCGGTGCTGCTCGGTGTCACCTTGGCAGTGCTCAGTGTGACCTCAGTGCTGCTCAGTGTCACCTCGGGGTGCTCGGTGTGACCTTGGCGGAGCTCGGTGTCACCTCGGCGCTGCTCGGTGTGACTGTGGTACTGCTTGGTGTGACCTGAGTGCGCTTGGTGTGACAGCAGCACTGCTTGGTGTCACCTTGGGGTGCTCAGTGTGACCGTGGTACTGCTCGGTGTCATTGCGGTGCTGCTCCATGTGACCTCAGGGTGCTCAGTGTCACCTCAACAGTGCTCAGTGTCACCTTGGTGCTGCTTAGTGTGACCCAGGCACTGCTCGGTGTCACCTCGGCGCAGCTTGGTGTGACCGTGGTATTGCTCAGTGTGACCTGGGCACACTCAGTGTGACCGCAGCACTGCTCGGTGTCACTGCGGTGCTGCTCGGTGTGACCTCGGGGTGCTCAGTGTGACCCAGGCGCTGCTCGGTGTGACCGTGGTACTGCTCGGTGTCACCTTGGCTCTGCTCAGTGTGACCCAAGCACGCTCAGTGTGACCACGGCGCTGCTCCGGGCACCCCGTGCCCCCCATGCCAAGGACGCGTTTCCTCCTTCAGCCGCTGCAGGTTTTGCTTTTAAAAATTCACAGTCTGATCCCAAAAAAAGAGAGAGAAGAGGGAGGAGAGAGAGAGACTGGATGGAGGAGAGGAGGGGGAGGGTTTGGAGCGGGGAGGGAGGGAGGGAGGAAGCGTGAGGCACTCCGGGCTCTCCTTCTACGCGTAGAACTCCTCCTGCTTGTCCGGCTTCTGGTAGGTGACGTTGGCCTGCTTGGGCTCCTCCAGGGTGTAGCTGCCCTCGTCCTTCTTCTTCATGCGGTAGATGAGCAGCATCACCAGGAAGGCGGCGAAAAGGGCGCCCACCACGCCACCCACGATGACCGCTGCAACAACGCACAGGGGACACGGCTGTCAGTGCCACCCGTGGCCATCAGTGCCAACCACAGCTGTCAGTGCCACCCCCAGCTCTCAGTGCCACCCGCAGCCATCAGTTCCACCCATGGCTGTCAGTGCACCCCCCTGGCCCCTCAGTGCCACCCCTCTAACCATCAGTGCCACCACTGCCTCTCAGGGTCATCCCTAGCCATCAGCTGTAACCAGCTGACCCTTCCCAGCTCTAAGTGCCACCCCCGGCCATCACTGCCACCCATGGCCATCAGTGCTGCCCCTCTGCTCCTCAGTGTCACCCCCATGGCCTTCAGTGTCACCCCCAGCTGTCAGTGTCACCCCCAGCTGCCATCCCCCTGGTCATCAGTGTCACCCCTCTTGCAATCAGTGTCCCCTCCTGGCCATGTCACACCTAGCCATCAGTGCCAGCCCCAGGCCTGCCATCAATGCCACCCGCTGGCCTGGCCGTCAGTGTCACCCCTCTGGGCCATCAGTGCCACTCCTACCCTCAGTGCCACTGCCAGCCCCAGCCTGGCTTCCAGCACAGAGAGTTTGGGGGTGTCCTTTGGGATTCCAGCCAGGTTTTGTGCTCTGGAAATCTGGGAGCAGCCTCTCAGCAGTGGCTGGGTCGCTGCAGCACATCTTTGGATTTCCAGGAAAAAAAATCCCATTTTGTTCCTGGAAATCCATCTCAGCACAAACAAATTGTGGGCAATGTTCCTGGTAAAGGCTTGGAGACCTCTGGGACCCCCCGGCAGAGCCATGGAGCAGTTTTGGGAGGTGGGTGTGGGTTATACCAGGCTCAGCACTGCTGCAGTTTGGGGGTTTCATTTGGGATTCCAGCCTGGTTTGCGCTTTGGAAGTTTGGGAGCAGCACTGGGTGCTGAGCTATGACTACAGAACATTTTACACTAAAAGATCTTTTTTTTTCCTGGAAATCCATTTCAGTGGAAGGAAATTGTGCAGAGCTGTCCTGGCAAAGGCACAGAGACCCTGGGAGAGCCCACAGAGCGATTTCAGGAGATGGATGTGGGTTACCCCAATGCCCTTCCCAGGACTGCCCCCTCCCCTGGGACAGCCCAGCTCCCTGTGCCCCCAGACCCTCTCCCCCAAACCCCCGGCCCTGTATCTCACCTATCAACACCTCTTTCCTCTCCAGGATGTTTTTCTGGGGCAGCTGAGCAGCCGAGTTGCCCGAGTCTATCGTGTTGTCCATCAGCCCTGTCTCCACGTTCCTGCCGGGCCCCGGCCCCGCCGGCGGCGTCACCACAGCCATCACCTCGTTCCCGAGGTCGGGACGAGTCGTCTCCTCCTCCTCCCGGATCTCGAAGTCCCCGCTGGGGCCACTGCTGGCCGGGACCTCCGGCTCCTTGTCGGGGGCTGTTGTCACCTCCCCTGGCTCCATCTGGGAGAAAGGACAAGATGGAGCAGGGGACAAGGACCAAAGGGTGGACATCACCAGACCAAGAACAGCATGGGGGACATGGGGATGACATTGGGGTGTCCCTTCCCTGTGTCACTGAAGTTGTACTGCAGTGACAGCACAACACCATGACTTGGTCACCAAATGGCCGAGGCCACCATGGCTGAGCTGGGCCATTCCCTGTCCCCATCCCAGGACCTGCTCCCTGTAGTTCTCCTAAAGAGATCCCATTCCAGACCCTGTACCTTACAGGGATGGATTTCTCCCCAATATCCCAGACCCTGCACTGGGTTCTGTCCCCGGAGGGCAGACTGGATGTCACTGCTTGAAGGTGACTCACTCCCAACAGGATGTGACACAACCTCCATGCCACACCAGCATGGCAAGAGGGAGGATTGGATGCTGCTGGATGAGCTCCCTTCCCCCTCCCTTTCCCCCCTTCCTGCTGCACAGGGCAGGAGCAGGAGGATGGGTCCCTGTCACCCAGGGTCACAGGGCTGTCACCCAGATCACAGGGCTGTCACCCAGGCCACAGGGCTGTCACCCAGGCCACAGGGTTGTCACCCAGGCCACAGAACTGTCACTCAGCCCAGCTCCCTGCTGTCCCTGCCCAATTCCCTTGGCAAGGATGGGATCCCGGCCTCAAGGATTGTCTGGAAATATCATCCATCCCACCCCCTACATCCCTTTCCTGATCCATTCGCTGCCTCCTGCACATCCCCTCAGGACCAAACCCCCCGGACCTTCCCCCTTGTCCCTCGGTGTCTGCGGAATTGGAGCATCCCCGATCCCAGGGATCCCTCCCTGCTGGGGCAAACGGCTCCTTCCCGCCTGCCTCGGTCACAAAGCAGGATTCGGGATGAGGCAGGATTCAGGGTGGGCCAGGATTCAGGGTGAGCCGGAGCTGTCTGGGGAGGGGGTGGGAGCCCTCTCCATGTCCCGCTGCCCCGGGGCCGGCGCACGGCTCAGCGCTTCCCACGAGCGGCACGTTTTGTGACAGGGATTAATTGAAGGTCAGCGAGAGCCCCGAGCGCTCCGAGCACGCATTTGCAGGCGGAAAAGAGAGAGTAGTTTAGACAAATCACTCCACCTTTCAGTCAAAGCGGCTGCAAAGGGCCCCTGAGGGGCTCTGAATGTGAGATGGAGCTGAAATTCCTGCTCAGGACACCCGATGGGCTGGAAATGCACCATCAAGCCGTAATTGAGGAGAGTTTGGGACTCCCGGCGAGGGGCGGGAGCTGGGACATGACACCAAACCCCGAGGAAAGTCGCTGTGTCCCCGTGGGATGTGGCACCGCTGCCCTCCAGCCTGGGGAAGCCGCTCTGGAGAAGGCAGTGCGGGGTCACCGGGGTGGGTGGCACATGCTGGGTGCCTCCAGGAGCCTGCACCCCTGCCTGGGCTGAACTCCCCCTTCACCTCCTTCCAGCTCCCCAGACGTCCACTCTGGAAGAGCCCAGCCCGCCTCCACCTCCCTCAGAGCAAGTGCCAAGGATGGATGGATGGACACCAAAGGCCTCCCGAAGCCACGGCTTGGCTTCCCACGGAGCCCAGGAGCCCCAGGCAGGTGAGAAGGGCTCTGGCCTCCTACCTGGGGGGCCTCTGTGGGCGGCAGCGTGGTGGCCATGGGTGGCAACGCCGTGCTTTTCTCGGGGAGCTCTGCAGTCCTCGAGGTGCTGGGCTTTGGCAGAGCCCTGGGCTTGGCCGTGCTGCTGGGGACAAGGCGTGACGTGGCCACCTCTGTCGGCGTGCTGGTTTCGGGGACGGCTGTGGTGGGGGTCTCCAGGGTGGTGGCCCGGGTGGTGGCCGCCTTGGTGGCCAAGGGGGGCAGGAACCTCCGGATGGTGGTGGGCTTGGCCGTGGCCACAGTGGTGCTGCTTGTGGTCGTGGTGGCCTCCGTGGTGGCTGTGGTGGTGGTGGTGGTGGTGGCCTCTGTGGTGGTGGTGGCTGTGGTGGTGGTGGTGGTGGCCGTGGTGGTTGGGGGCTCACTGGCCGTGGTGCTGGTGGTGGTGGTGGCTTTCCAGCTGGGCACCACCGGTGCTGCTGTGGTCCTGGGGATGAGGAAGGCGCTGGTGGCCTGCCCGGGGGTGGTGTCCTGGGGGGTGGGGGACGGCTCCAGGGGCGTTGCCACGGGCTGGGCGGCGGTGACGGGCAGCACGGCCGCCGTGGTGGGCAGTGTCACCAGCGTGTCCGTGGTCAGGCTCACAGCAGGGTCCAGCCCTGGCTCCGGCTCGAAATCTGAAACGGGGACAAGAAGGAAGAGTGAAGCTGCTGCTGGTGCATTTTCCTGGCATCACCCCCAAAATCCAAGAGCACGATGGTCCCAGGCTCAGCAGAAACCAAGGGCTGTGCCCATGTGGTGGCCAAAGCCCTCTCTGGGGTCTGTGGAGGGGCTGGTCCTGCCCAGCAAGACCAGAGGCTGAACTGGGACATAGAGCCCAACTTTTGGAACAGCTCCCATTGCTTTTGTCTCAGAGGACAACTCCAGTGATGGATAAAGGGCAATTCCCTCCCTCACATTCCCTCTCCAGCCCTCCAACCTCACAGTCAGCCAAGGACCTTCCCAGGAACTCCCCAACCCCATACCCAGCCAGGGACCCTTCCCAGGAATCCCAGGAACCATCCAACCATCCAGGGACCATTCCCAGTTACTCACACCCCGAGCCAGAGCCGGAGTAGATGTCGTCCAGCTCATCTTCTCCAAAGGGGTCATCATCCCCGGAGCCCTCCAGGTCCACGGGCCGCTCGTAGTTCTCATTGCGCCAGCGCTGAGCCTGTGACCAGAGGGACACGTGAGTGGCTCCAGCCCCACCCAGGTGACACCCCAGCCACCCCTCGTGGGACGAGGCATGGGAAAAGCCAGGCCAAGGCAGCAGCAGCACAAACAGCCTCCAGGTGAACCACTCAGAATCTCAGTGTTTACCCCCCAAACAACTCAGAGCTCACACCGACTCCAGCATTTCCCATGGACAAAAAGGCCTTTTCTGGGGGGAAAACCCAACAATTCTTTTTGGAAGCTGAAAGAAAAATGCTTCGCTTGCTTCTCCAGCTGGCTGCTGTTCAGGCTCGATGATTTCCCTGTGAGTCCTGGCTCCGGTGTGACAGCAACACCTCATCAGCTGCCACAGCTTGGGAAGCCTCCAGAGGAAACAACACCAGACTTCAAATATTCCCCTGCCTCCCAGAGCTGCGAAAACACGGGGAGCCCTCGCTAGCAGCGCTCTTAAACATCTTGTTTTGCAGATCAAAGTGTCTCCTGTCGGCGTTGCAAGGAAACGCTTTGACACCTCATTACAAGGCAAACAAGGCGGCTTTGATCTGCGAGATCGCATTGGATGTTTCAAGATGTAACGAGCCAGGTTCGAGCTTCAGTTTCAAATCAAGGCCTTGAAGGGTCCCTGTCTCTCTCGGAGCATTTTACCGCCCGAAACCAGCTCGGGATTTCTTTGTTTTTGCTGCAGCTTGGAGCTTGAACAGTCAAGCGGAGAAATTTGGGACTTGACTCGCGTTTTGTCCCCACATCCCTTCTCCCACCAGGAGAGAGAATCCATCAGCTCCGGAAGGGCAGGGGGAGTTGAGCTTTTAAGTGTCTGAGCTGTGTCTGGCTGGATCTGTTCCAGCTCGCCTCAGCAGCCACTGGATGTATCCTGCCTGTGCCAAACACCCCCTGTTGTTCCCAAATCTCTGGGAGTATTCAGCCTTTGTCCCACAACTGATGTGCCATCCTGGATTCCCAACACCCGCTCACCAGCAGCTCACTGGAATTTGTGATCCAGCAGAATAAATCTGCAGGGACTTGGGAATTGCACAGCCCAAAAACATGAGATAGGTCACCAAAACTGATGGGAAGGCAAGGAAAAATGCCAAGGATTGAGGGGTGCAGGAAGAAACACTGAGAATCACTCTCATTTGCTTTTTGATGTTTTTACACCAGAAGTATCAAGGCTCCCCAAGAAATGAGGAGAGCCCAGTGTGCCCCAGCCCTTCCCCATTCCCGAGGGTGGGATTCTCCCTGCGTGACCTGCAAAGCTTCTCCCTGATGGGAGCCACATGGCCCTATTCCCTTTGTTCGTCCTGAAATTGGAACCAGATGAGGCCGTTCCAGACTCCTGGCTCTGGGCTTGGAGCAGGAAATGGGAACGGAAGTCCCAGTTTGTCTCAGCAGCTCCCATCTGTCCAACACTCATCTGTGCATCCATGCATCCATCCATCCATCCATCCATCCATCCATCCATCCATCCATCCATCCATTATCCATCATCCATCCATCCATCCATCATCCATCCATCATCCACCCTCCATCCATCATCCATCCATCATCCACCCTCCATCCATCATCCATCATCCATCCATCCATCCATCCATCCATCCATCCATCCATCATCCATCCATCCATCCATCAATCCATCATCCATCCACCCATCATCTCTCCATCATCCATCCATGCATCCATCATTCATTCATCCATCCATCCATCCATCCATCCATCCATCCATCCACCTTACCCTAAACCTGAACAAGCCCCAGCCAGGACCAGCACAAACCCCACAACAGCCCCACAGGCAGGGCCAGACCTGGGGGAACCCCACCTGCAGCCCAGCCCCAGCCAAGCTCCACAAAGACCCAAAGACTTGGGAACAATCTCTGGGTGTTCCTGGTGCACAGGGGGACATTTGGGACATTGGGATATTGTTCCCGAAGAAGCCCCGTCCCCACTCCATTCCCAAGGTGCTGATGTAACCCCTCCAGCTGCAGCCCCGACAGTTTGAGGTCAGGCTCACGCCATAAATCTTGGGAGCAGTCGGGGTTTATTTGGATTTAGTGCTGCTTGGATCATTAGTGCTCTGCGTGCCCCCAGCCGTGCCTGGCTCCCCCTCCCCGGGAACCAGGGGCTGCTCCTGGGGCTGCTCCCCCTGCAATGAGGGCCTGCTTCCTCCAGGAACGAGGGGCTGCTCCTGGGGCTGCTCCCCCTGCAATGAGGGCCTGCTTCCTCCAGGAACCAGGGGCTGCTCCCCTTGGTCTGACTGGGATGGAGGGGAGGGAAGGCAGAGTTTGCCAGCCCAGAAACCACAAATCACTCAGGACAGCAGCTCCCACCTCCTGACCTGGGGCTGCCTCCCCATCCATCACAGCCCACATTCCCAATCCATCCCAGCCCCCAAGCCAAGCCACCCTTGCCTGGATTTGTCCCAAAAGAGAAACTTCCTCCAGACTTTATCCCTGTCCCAGGGGCTCCATGGGGTCAGACCAGGGCTGGAGGGACCCTTGGACATGCCAGATCCATCCTGCAGCCCCTGATCTCCTGGGATGGTGGCAGGGACTGTCCCCACCCCACAGCAAGAGGGATGGAGCTGCTGCTCCAGAGAGAAAATCTTTTCCAGGGCACTGATCCCATGCCAGCCAAGGGCTGGGGGTGTCACACCAGCCATGTCCCCATCTGGATCAGTCCCCTCCAATGCCTGGGACAAGGGACAGGCTCACAGCATTTCAGGTGCTCCCAGCAGCCCACTCCAGGTGCTCACTCCAAAGCTGGACCAGGCAGAGAGTTCCTTGGGGCAGGGAGGAAATCCCAGTGCGCTGCTGGCCCTGGCTCTGTTCCCCCTGTCACCCCTGTCACCCCTGTCACCCCCTGCCCTGGCAGCACCAGGATGCCATTTATTAGCCAGCTCCAGCCAAGGGCCAGCAGCTCCCATCCCTGCAATTCCAACCGCCCAGCTGACAGCTCTTGGCAGGGGCTCCTTCCCCAGCTCAGCGCTGCCTCATTAGGGAAATTAAAGCCGGAATCACGGCAGGGCTGCTGGAGGCGGAGGGATGAGACTGCTCTGGGGGCTGCATCACTTCTGGACAAGGATTGGGAAGGTTTCCATGTGCCCAGGGAGGAGCTGGCTGTGCCCAGGACTGTCCTGCAGCCAGGGAACTGCTCCTGTCACATCCCTGTGTCCCATGAGCTGTCACTGGGGGCAGCCCCAGCCAGGACCCGGCTCTGGCATCTCCCAGACCCCAAACAACGGCCCCGTTCCCACTCCCCCAGGGTCTCCAAAGGTCACAGCTCTGCTGCTATAAAAACAAGCCCTGATGAAGAGCAGACTCCAGCCAGGGCCAGAAAGTCACATTTCACTGAAAGCTCCCTTATTGTGCTCTAAATTACCCCAAATACACGCCAGACACAAAGGGCTTGGATCTCAGCAGTGACATGGGCACTAGGTCGAGCTCGGGTAAGAAACACATCCCCCACCCCATCCCAGAGGATCCTTTTCCACATGAAAAGGGGGATGGGCAGGTGATGATTCCCACCCGGACACTCCCTGCCCCCTTCCATGCCTTCATCTTGGCTGGGCTGGCAGGAATGGCAGCCAAGGGGAATGACCCAGCAGCACAAATCCCAAACCACACACTGAGAGCCTTGAAAAGCCAGGGAGGGCTCGGAGCCCTTGGTCTGGCAGCATCTGAGCTGAGCAGGGGGACAGGGAGGCTTCAGCCCCTCTCCACTGGCTTTGTGACCACCCCACATGGACAGTGTCACCCCTCTCTCTCCTGTCCCCTTGGCAGCCTGGGTGACACCATTGTACAGGTGAGAAATGTAAATCTGGGGTAAGGGGTCTCACTCAGCCCCCCCAGGAGCAGATCTCCAGGGGATTTGGGGGCTTAAAGAATGTAGGGGCACAGAAGGGACCCTCCTGTCACTTTCCTGGTACAAAGATGGTCCTGCAGAACCCTCTGCAGCTCTGACACATCCTGGAGCACAGGGAGTGCCTGGTTTGGAGCTCCCTAAATTCCCTGTTCATCCCTCCTTCCCCAGGCAGGGAGGGCCAGGGCATTTTGTTATTTAGGTCATTTCCACTCCATGAAAGGGCTTTTGCAGAGACAGAAGATTTGGGGGCTTAAAAGATACGGAAACCAAGGCACAGAAGGGACCCTCCTGTCACCTTCATGTGATGTTCCTACAGACCTCTCTGCATCTCTGAACACATCCCGGGTGACAGAGAGAACCTGGTTTGGAGCTTCTTAAATTCCCTGTACATCCCTCCTCCCCCAGGCAGGCTGTTTTATTATTTAGGGCTTTTCCACTCCATGGGATTTAAGCTCCCCAAATCTGCCCCAAAGCAGATCCCAAAGCACGCTGCTGATCCCAGATCAGTGCTGAGTGTTTGGTCTCGGGAGGAGGGAAACCTGGGCAATCAATCCATCTCCAGGCACCGGGAGAGGCCCGGGAACCTCCCTGGGATGCTCTCAGGCCCTGCTGCGCCAGTCGCCATCGCCACGGCAACGGTCGCCATGGCAACGCCTCCTCCATGGCGACGCATCCCGCTGGAGCCATGGGTGGTGTCCTGCAGCCCAAACCCAGGGATGGAGGCTCCTTCCCGGGTGGGGGCAGTGAGATGGGGTCACGGGGTGGGTAAGGTGGGGAGCAGGGGGAGAGGAGGCACTTCCAGCTCCTGGGGGAGCTCCCCCAACGGGGAGAATCCTGATTTAATTCCATGGATTTTGGGGAGGGTGGGAGCAGCACCCCGAGCTCCAGGAGCTCTGACTGGGAGGGATCTGCTGCAGGTGGGAGGTGACAGGGACACCCCAGCCCGTGGGTGTTCCCAGCCCTCCTGGCTGCAGGCAGAACCTCAGGAGTTCTTTCCTTGAGGGAATCAGAAAGGAAATCAGGATCTGGCTCTGGAATGTTCCTGAGGAGCTGGGGCCCAGGTTTGGGTTGTGCCTGGAGCTCTGGAAGAGGGGACAAGTCCAGGTGGCCAAGTCCTTTCCTAGCCAGATTCACTGGGCAGCA